CAGGAGAGAGCCCAACATGTCAGCCCAAGGCCCTCCCCCATCTGGCCCCCGGGATCCACATTTTTTCACTAAGACCCTCTCCTGTCTTCAAGTCAGCCACCAAAAATTCTTTTTTTTTTTTTGAAGATTTTATTTATTTATTTGAAAGAGAGAGAGCACAAGCAGGGGGAGCTGCAGGCAGAGCGAGAGGGAGAGGCAGACTCCCCGCTGAGCAGGGAGCCTGATGCGGGGCTCGAACCCAGGACCCTGGGATCATGACCTGACCATCTGAGCCTCCCAGGAGCCCCAGGCCACGAGGAATTCTTTTTTATTTTATTTATTTATTTATTTATTTATTTAAGAGAGAGAGAGAGAGAAACAGCATGAGAGGGGATACGGTCAGAGGGAGAAGCAGGCTCCCTGCCGAGCCGGGAGCCTGATGTGGGACTCGATCCCAGGACCCCGGGATCACGACCCGAGCCGAAGGCTGTCGCTTAACCAACTGAGCCACCCAGGCGCCCCACGAGGAATTCTTTCAGGTCTCAAATGCACTGGGCTCTTGTCTGCTTCAGGGCTGCCTCGGAAGCCCCTACCTTAGTCTGGAACACACCCCCCCCCCCCGCATCACCGCATCCTTCAGGTCCCCACAGAACATTCTGGCACACTGCAGCTGCTACAGGAGTCTGGAGCTCAGCAGGGACTAGAGCGGGAGACGGAGATCCTAAGTTTAAAAGAATTCAGATTGTGGGCCACCTGGGTGGCTCAGTCGTTAAGCGTCTTCCTTCAGCTCAGGTCATGATCCCAGCGTCCTGGGATCGAGCCCCCGCATGGGGCTTCTTGCTCAGCAGGAAGCCTGCTTCTCCCTCTCCCGCTCCCCCTGCTTGTGTTCTCTCTCGCTGTGTCTCTCTCTGTCAAATAAATAAACCTTTAAAAAAAAATAATTCAGATTGTAATTGAAGATACAGGGCTCAAGGAGATTACCTGAAGATCCTCTCATTTAGAGAAACGGTCCATACTCTTTTGAATGCACACCTTCCAAAAAATTAGGCACGCACCTCCAACATACCACATAGATATGCACTTGATGAAACATACACAAAAATGGAAAGTGACAAGGCTGATGTTAAAATATGTATACACAGGAGTTCCAAGTTTCTTTCATTAGAATTTGAAAAACATGGATTTAAACTAGATGGCGAAGGAAAAGGGGCAGAGCGGCCACGGCAAAGAGGGAAAACCAGGAGTGGCGTGAGAGAAGCCAGGATGTGTTTCAAGGACAGTGTGGCCAACTGCGTCCAATGCTGCAGAGGCCGAAGAAGACGAGATTGAAAGTCATCCATTGGATCGGGCAACCAGGACGTCCTAGCAATCCACGGGATCCTTCCAAGGGCGTTTATGGGGCAGAGGTGGGATGGAAGACAAGACTGGCTAGGGGCGGGAGGGCTGAGTAAACCTGAGTCCAGATCTTCCCTGAGCGCCCCAACTACTACCTGCTTGGATGCATCCCAGGCATTTCAGAAGCAACCCATCCAAAACTGACCTGCTGACCTGCCTCCCCCGATCTGCCCCCTCTCTGTTCTCATCCGAGTAACAGCACCTCTAGCTAGGTGTATAAGCCAGAAGTCTCCGGCTCATTCACCCCTTCTATCCGGTCCATCAGCAGGTCCTATCAGTACTACCTTCAAAATACATTCTGAGCTGGGCCCTTTTGACCATCTCTTCCACCCTAAGCCAAGCCACCACCATCATCTCATACCTGAGCCTCCTGACTGGTCTCCCTGCGGCCATCCTGCCTTCCTCTTCTCCATGGGTTCCCCACGTCTTCTAAATGTATACATCAAATCCTAGCATTCTCTTACTTTAAAAACTTTCAGCCATTTACTGCTGTGTTACAAATGAATTCCAAGTGCCTTACCACTCCCTGCAAGGCCCGCACGAGCATCCGGGGCCCCGCCTCCCCACCCATCAGCCACACTGGTTTTGCTCCTTCTCCAACAGGCCTGATTTTCTCCTGCCTCGAGGATTTTGAACTGCTCCTTTGTAGTCTGTTTTGAAAGCTATTCTTTCTGCCCGGAATACACTTCCCCTTCCAACCTTGCGCTTGACTAGCTCCTGCTTCAACGGGACCTCCTCGAGAGGCCTTCCCATCTAAGGGAGCACTCCCTCCACTACCCCATTCTCCCCCTGCCCCCCCCCTTCTGCTCCTTCAAGCACAAAGCACAACACACACCGATACATTTGTACGTTGAGTTGTTCAAGTCCGTTTCTCCTCCTAGATGGGAAACCCCATGGGGAAAGGATGGTGTCTGTCTTGTTCATGGTTGAATTTCCTTGTAATGTGTGTCTGACACATGATGACCACTTGATGAGCCCTGGCTGCCCCCTACATCTCTTCGGGGTCCTTACCTGCTGCGAGTGCCGCTCCAGCCTGCCTTGCCACCTTTTCTCCCTCTCCTGCCTAACTCAAAAATTCCGCCCACCCCACACTGAAGACTGGGGAGCCCCTTACCCCTCCCTTTCCCACCTCTGTCTCTGTTCATGGTCTCCTCCACACAACAAAGCTCTTTTAAGGATCATCTCAAGCCCTGTGAAGCATTTTCTGACCGCCCCCTATACATGATGATCTGTCCCTGTGTTGAACCGCAAAATATTTTATAACTCATGGCCCTCTTCCTGTGTTGCCTTGACTGCTAGTGGGCTCAAGAAATTTGTGGGCTGACAGGGCTGAAAACCACTACCCTACAGTCATCTTCAAATTCTAGTGAGCATCAGAACCACTGCTGAGCTTATTAGAATACAGAATCCCAGGCCCCAAAGAGCATTTCGGTAAGACTCCGCATTATTTCAAGCACTCTTTATGACCCTGATGTCCCCTGGTCTAAGAACCTCATAACTTGGAAGGGGACAGAATCCCCAGACCCAAGATTCGGTCTCAGGAAAAGGAGGGTGTCCAGAGGTTGACAATCCCTACCCTTCTTCCTCCAAGATGAACAAAGACTCAAGTTCTTTATTTGCCTTTCTCTTTTAATCCCCTCCCTGCTCCAACTCTCAAAGAAGTGCCCAGAAATCAAACACCAGGAAGCTCAAAGAGCCAAGGCAAGCCAGCCCAAGATGAGCAGGCTCCCTCCCACAGGGGCCAAAGTCTGGATGCTGGGGTCTCCACTCAGAGCCTGGTAGTAAAAGCTGGTGCAGAATAAGGTGGTTCCAGAGGCTAGCAGTAACCCGGCCTGAAGGAGACACAAGGAAGAATGCAGGCCGGTAAGAAAAGTGCTGACAGAAAGGGAGCGGGTGGGGCTTGGTCAAGGTTAGGCAAGGGGGTCAGATTACCCAGAGGGGCTTTCTGCAATGGGGCACCCCTATCAGGGCCAGGCTGTGTATGAAGTGGTGTTTGTTGGCCTTCTCAAAGAGCTGTAAGAAAAAGAGAAAGGTGGGTGGGGGTGGGTGCATTTCCTAAGCAACGCTGGAGCCTGAATCCCGGTCGGCCCCCAACTGAAGTCCCGGCTGGCCTCTCCCCCAGGCACCCACGGCTCAGGCTGGCCGCCCTCGGCGCTCCCGAGCCCCGCGCTCCGCCCCTCCCCTGCTTCTCGCGGCGACCCCAGACTTTGGGCGCTCGTCGACCCGGAAGCTGGGGAGCCCCAGCGCGGTTACTTCACCTCCTTCCCGTAGGCATCCGGAAACTGGGCGCCTGTGGAAGGAGAGGCAAAGGTTACCAGTCCGAGCACCGGCCTCGACCGCCCCAACTCCCGGCGGGACCCAGGTGGACACTGGCGATAAGGAATGTCCCCAGGAGGCTTCCGATTGGTGGAAACACGCATGGGCACTTCTGGGAACCAAACTGGACCGGGCCGGGGCGGGGGGGGCTTTAAAAGGGTCAGGCTCTCCGAGGGCTGTCTGGCACTTCCCACAGACCCCGCCCCTGCACTAGACACCCCCCCCCCACCAACGGTCGTCGCCCTCGCAGTGTGAGCTCCGTCCCCAGCCCCCTGACCGTGCGCCCCGTAGGAGGCCAAGCCTAAGGCCCCGGCTCCGGACAAGGCGCCCAAGCGGCGGAACGCAGCCCCCGGCCCGGCCATGGCAGCGGATGGTCACGCGCCGGACGAACACCGCCCAGGCCACCCGAGAGGCCAGCCAATCCCGGACTCCCATGCAAATGATGTCCACGGGTGCCCAATCGGGGCCGTGTTCATTTCAGCGTCCAGGTCCTCACCCGGGTACTTGCGCCTTTGTAAAACCTCTGGTGAGTGGCGAAGCTGTCTGGCGGGCGGAGAAACGAGAACCAATTAGGGGCGGAGGAGCGGGGCTGGGAGGGGCGGGGCTGGGAGGCGGGACTAGAGGATTTGCGTCACGGATTGGCCCACTTTCAAAGTTGATCGCTTCTCCTAACACCTATCTCCCCCCCCCGCCACCTCCAGCCAATTTCCAAAGATCCCGGTCCCCACGCAAAGTTCCGCCCCATTCCCCACTGGCTCCTCCTTTCCAGCTTTAAACCAGACCCACTCCCAAAAAGAGGCGGCCGCTCGGATAGCCAAGCCACACCCATCGCAGCCAAACCCCGCCCGCTATCGAGATGGCCCCGCCCGTAGATGCAAGGCCCCGCCTTCTTCACATGATGCCCCGCCCCCTGTAGTTCAGC